GGAATTGAAATAGTTTATGTCTAGGATGTGAGGGGTTTGTAGATATTTTCTCAGCTCTTTCTGGCTCCTGCAGTATACAAGTCCTCAATGGAAGGCAGGCTGGTTACAATTGTTTTGACTGCAGTCTTAACTAACTGTTAGAGTCTATACCTGCCCTGCTTAATTTCTGTATCAAATCAGCAGTTATAGAAGTACAAATGACAGATTCAGTAATTCCTCTGTAGAACTTTATCAGCAGTTCGTTGAGCAGTTTGAACTTTCTAACACAGGAAGTACATTCTTGGTTGTGGCTTTTTAATGGTGCTTCTAATGTTAGGTATCCATTTCGAGTCGTGGAAGAACCCAGAAAGTTGAAGTTCTCTACTATTGATAATGTGTTGCTTAGTGTTGTAAGGGTGATAGAGTAGAAGGGGTCTTCCTAAAATCTATGACCATCTCTACAGTTTTAAGTGCTCAGTTCAAGATGCACCACAACCTTCCATCTGTATGCAGATTCATCACCATCTCGAATGAGACCAATGACATCATCTGCAACTTCAGTACTTTAATAGAGGGTCCACTTTGCTTCTTAGCATTAGTAAGGGCTAGTAGCATCCTAAATATGTGTTTCTTGAGTGAAAACATTTAAATAAAGTAAAATTGGGAAATGATTGCTATCAAACTTAACTGTAATTTCTGAGCTTTGTATAAGGAACAAGGTCATGAAAAGCAATTATATAGTCAATTGCACTCTTTCTGGAGCCAGATAGATGAGTACAAGTTTCTTTCATGGATGCTTTTTATCAACTGAGATCCATACTATGACTGCCTTGGTCCACCTGCCATTAGTTGTTCTTGTTATGTGACCAGCCCATTTTTATTTCAATTAATTACTTGTTGTTGTTTCTGAAAATTTTTCCTTAGTTCTAGCTGGATATCTCCTTTAATAAGAACCTTTAATCCTTCTCTTTGTTAGACTAAATATACCAGTTCCTACAACTGTTTTATGTATTAGCCTTCAGTCCATTAATCACCTTTAATGCTCTTCTCTGCACTTTTTCTAAAGTCATCTTTTTGTATTGAGGTGACGAAAATTGGATGCAGTTTTCCAAGTGTGGTTTTACCAAAGTATCATAACATTTCATGTCATCTTGATTCTATTCCTCTGTTGATGCAGCCTAGGGCTGTGTTTGGGTTTTTTGATAGTTGTAGCACACTGCCAGCTCACATTTGAGTGATTGTTCACTAGGCCCCTAGATCCTTCTTGCAGCTACTGCTATTGAATAGGCAGCATCTATTCTATACCTGTGCATTTGTTTTTTTCTGGTCCCAGTGTAAAACCTTACTTTTTTGCCACTGAATTTCATTTTGTTTGATTTGGCCCAGTGTTGAAATCTGATAAGATTCTTCTGGTTCTTGAACCTATCTCCTTAAAAGTGTTGGCTCTTTCCCCCAGCTTAGTCTCATCTGCAAATTATATCCCATCTAAATAATTTATGAAGATGTTGAAGAATACTAGAGTACTAGACCTACCTTCAGGGTACTCACTGCATACTACCCACAATGTAGATGTAGTTCCATTGTGAACTATATATTGAGTATGGTTGGTAGTCAGTTAAAAATCCATCTGGTAGTGATGCTGTCTAACCCATATTTATCAACTAGTAGGTTAGGGTTTACTTTGTCAAATGCCACATTGAAGTCCAAATATTATAGCCATAGTATTTCACTGGTGCACTGGTGTACTCACTTTGTCAAAGAATGCAAAAAGTTTTGTCTGGAATCATCTGTTTTTCACAAAGCCACATTGACTTCTACATATAGTTTTGTTTGCTTCTTGCTGTTTGCAGATTCATTGCTTAATTATCTTTTTCAAGATCTTCCTGGGTATTGATATCAGACTGATTGGTCTCTAGTTTCCTCGATCCATTTTTTCCCTTTTTTGAAGGAACCAAGTCAGCAATTTTCCAGTCCTCTGGTAGTTCTCAGGTCCATATATCTTTTGAAAGATGTGGTTCCGAGATCACATCTCCCAGCTACAACTCTGGGATGTAATCTATCTGGTTCTGGTGCTTTGAACTTATCCAGAGTGGATAGATGTACTGTTATCATTTTCTTGATTATTTTGACTTGTATTCCTAAGCTGTCTTTTACAGGACTATTTTTGGTAGGTCGGACTGGTTTTTTTCCTTTTGTGTAAATCCAAATGAAAAAAAAATGAATTAAACAATTTCACTTTTTCCCTGCTGTTCATCACCTTCTTGATATCTTCTCCCATTTGTGAGCCAATTATTTTCTTGGCTTTTTTCTTTTTCTTTTTACATGTTAAAAGAAATGTTATTTTATTATTGTTGACATTTGTTGCAAGCCTAAGTTCATTCTGAACCTTAGATTTCCTGACTTCATCTTTGCAGGTTCAGACTATTTGCTGATATTCTGCCTTAGTTATATGCCCTCGTTCCAATTTTTATATTTTTCCTTTTTGTCTTTCAGCTTAGCAGAGTGTTCTTTACACGGGATGTCTTACTTTAATTTTTTAATAGTATTGTGCTAGACTAGGCTTTTATAATCTCATTTTTCAGAGTTTTCTAAGCTTCTTAGATTGTTTTCCCTTGAGGATTTCCATCCATGGAATCCTTCTCATGAATCCTTCTCTAAATTTGTTGAAATCAGCTGTCTTAAAGTCTGAGACACTAATTTGAGTTTGTTTTGTTACTTGTGTTTGCATTATGTTGAATTCCAATATTGCATGATCATTCTTTCCCAAAGTTCCTGTAGTCCCTTCTATTGTTTCATCTCTATTGGGGAGAATTAAGTCCAGTATAGCTGGCCCTCTGATTCCCTCCTCTATCTTCTGGGAGGCAAAGTTGCCTTCTAGGTTCATCAGGAAGCTTTTTGAACTTTCTTTAGGTGCAGAATTTATCTCCCAGTTGATGTGAGAGTAGGTAAACTCCCCCATCGTTATTGTGATGTGCTTTCTATATATACCTAAGCTAACTGATTAACAAATAGGTTCATATATTTCCTTTATTTGATTGGGCAGTGTCATTCTTTTTTCCCTTTTATATTAACCCAAATGCATTAAAGAAGTTTTTCATCATTGTTTTGTTGCATTACTGTAGAGGAATAGTTTTTTCTTATATTTTTATATAAGAATTGCAACCAGAAGCACTCTCATGGCCAATGCAGCTCAAAACGTGATGATGTTATATGTGGCAAGCAACATCTCATTAACTATCCATACTGCCTCATTCTGCACCTGTTGATGCTTCATGCTCTTCGAGGAAAGCCCCATGTACAGTGTCTTGAAGTTGTCTCGACATACTAATTATTTGGCACATATTTCTGGCTCAGATTTATTATTCACAATCTGAATAATTATCCTCTAATATAAATTCCAATAGAAAAGACTGGACTGTAGTCCAGACAAAGGCATAAGTGACCATGAGTGGGGCTCCTGGCAAAAGAATGAGCTCAACTATTGCACAATCAAAAGTTGCAAAGACCCTTCTGCCACCTGGTCTTCAAGAAGGAACTGAAGTGCAGGAGGATCTTCAGATGGTGTACTGGGCCTCTCTGAAGCACAACCCCAATCAAAACCAGATATGGAAAATCCCCATAATGGGAAGTCCATATGCTCAATTTCACTCAGCCTTGCTTGTGTTGAGCTGAAGCCTAGTTGCATCTCATTTGGGTCCCACACTGCAGGCACTAGAGGACCATATCACTCAACCTGGGATGGAAATATAAAGCTAAATATCATCAGCATATGGATGCTATGTTATCACAAACCATCAGATGCCCAGTAGCTTCATTTACATGTTACATAAGAGGAGACAGAGAGATGATTAAAAATGCCACAAATCTTGTCCAAAGGTGGGGGAAATGATATAATTCATATTTTTGCTGGTAATATGGGATGGAACAAATTAACTTTAATTGATTGGTTCAGAAAAAACGACAAAGATTTGAACAATGAGCTGGTGAAGCAAAACAACCTTGAAGAGCTGTATCAGCATTGTATAGGCACCTCACTGAAGGAATTGAGGCAGGGGGAAAATGGTATGGGGAAAATAATTTATAGCCTTTCTTCCCCGATGCCCCATCTAATTACTTCCATGGAGTCCAATGGGGGAGAACCCTAAAAATTGGAGCAACAAGAGCCCTGCCACCAGCAGAGAAGCAAAGAAGAAGAGATCAGAACTGTCAGTCCCTTGGATATATAGCTAGATTGTGCCTGATGAAAACTAGAGCATTTGACGTAGCAATAACATGTAGAATTTGTAAATCAACTAGTCAGCAAATGCCCAGCACACTTCAAAGCAGAAACCTTAAACTTTGCTAGCTCCCTTCCCAAGAATGTCAAAGGAAGTCCCTCAAGCAACTAAGAAGAGGTCAGATGGCCAACAATAGGCAATACTAGTCAATCCTTATATCAGATGCAGATCAGAGCAAGCACATACACAGTTCAGTTCAGCTACCAAAAATATAAGATTGTTTATTTTTTAAACATCAGCAAACATAGAACATTGACTGAAAAGGTTGTTGATTTAAGCCTAAATATTATTTTACCTGGAAAAATAAAATTTAATGCAGTCACTATGGCTTTCAAAGCAAAAACCTAACTTATAGCATAACATATGATATCTAACTTCACCAACATCTTATTTATATTTCCTTGGATGAAAGTTAATTAAACATTAGGAAATTTAAATGTATATATTTCTCATAATATGACATTATCATACTGTAAAGATTTTTTTTCAAAAAGTAAAATGTTATGTATTACATTACAGGCAACCCTACCTTGCTTTATGTTGTTTACTCAATGCTATTTACACATTTGTAAATGTCTAAGTAATATCAACTAAACAACATAAAATAATTCCAAAATTTGAAAATCAATTTAGCAAGTGTTTGCATCTTACTGAATACTTCTAATATATATTTAGTATATATTTCCAAAAATATGTTGGGAAATATAGGCTAAATATATATCAGAAGTATCCAGTAAGGATTTACAAATCTTGGGAATTATTTGGCACATATTTATCGCTCAGTTTTATTGTTCATAATCTGAATGATTAAATTGTTCTCTAATATAAACTCCAATAGAAAAGAGTAGAATTTTAAGCAACACTGACAAATAATTTCAATCTGTCATAATACTATACGGGACGTCATGGAGTTCCCATCAATAAATAGAATGTCAAGGCAACAATAAGTAACAAACAAAAAGGAGAAGAAAAAGTCTGATAGGCAGCTGAAGGCATAAAAATATCTTCGTACTTGTAAATACTGACCACATGCTCCGAAACCGGTGGAGAATCTATGTCATGCCGAGTTATAGAACCTAAAGTAGGTTAAAGAAAAGAAAATACAAGAGAAATCATATTAACAATAAATATTGAAAATGTTATACAAAAGAAGGAACTTTTCACCATGTTGTGGTTTTATTTATATAGAAAAAGTATTAGAAAGAAATTCTTCAAAATATTAAGAAAATCCTAACAAATAAATTTTGAACTGGAACTACAAATAGACATAACTAGGCATAATTCCAGGAAGTATACATGTAAAATTTCACAATTTACTAAAAGATATGCTAACAGCTGCAAAAATAAGTTTGGCCAACATTGGAAAGAAGGAACTTTGAAAGGACAATACTGGGATATCAAAATTGGAGAATATGCAGCAATGGAAAGATGGATAGTTTAGAGAAATCTAGCCAAATTTAAGCAAGAATGGTTCCTGTATATACATTATCATCAGGGATGCAATTCAATGGTAAAACAACCAGTTCGGTGAGCGTACCAAATGTGCGCTCTGCACGTGGGCTCTGCGTTTAAAAACACTAATATTTACCTTCAACTGCAGCTGAAGAAAACAGCTGAGGTATGCAAACCGCTCTGCCATGCGAATCAGCTGTGCTCTAACAAAAAGACATAAAGCACAGGAAAGAGCAGGGGCGGGCCATATGCTTGTTGGAGTGAACCAGTTTGGAGCTAGCTGATCGTCGGAACAAGGGGTTCACCCAAACTGGTCTGAACCAGGAGAATCCCACCCCTGAATATCATCTTTGTCAGCCATTTAGTCATGTCCAATCCTCAGCTACTCTATGGATCAGCACTCTCCATGTCCCTTAGTCTCACACTGCCTTCTTTATATCAGCTGTGGTCATCCCAATGTCATTCTTTGGGAATCGGGCCATGCAAGTGGAGGGCGAGCAAAGTGCCATTGTGCAAGTGGCAGGTGCTTGCACAAAACCATCTCCTCTGCCCCTCACTGCTGCTGCCACTAGTCCACAGAGCCAGAAAGATTGGACTATTGGTCTAGAACTTCTTAGTTATTTTTGCAGTCCATGGAATGCATAATACTCTCCAGCACCACAGTTCAAAGGCATCCACCATTCTCCTATCTGCCTTTTTCAGAGTCTTCAAGTTTCTCAGCCATAAGTAGTAAACTATACATTGTATTGCATGGCAAATTTAGAATAGGTTTTTAGGAACAAAATTATGGAACCAATAAGAATAATGAATGAAAGGATTTAAATTGATACTAACAATATTTTTTAATATATAATGTAAAGTTTAAGTATCTTAAGTTGGGCTTAGTGGTTAAGGAAATAAATGGAAGGAAAGAAGACAATGTTTTCTGATAATGCTTGTATTTAAGTCTTGTTTATATTTAGTTGTTTCTTTCTTTTTGTTATTCAACTGTTGCTATCCAATGTATTTCATAATTCTAAAAATATATTTTTAAAAAGGAAAAATAATGGAAGCTGTTTATTATAGCTGCTTACTTGTAATTGTGATTTTTTTTTTACATTGAGCAGGAAATTACACTTCCACATATTCTTTTGTGGAACACTTAAGTGGTTGGAACTCAATCACTAATCACCTTAGTTTTTCATTAAGATCAATATGGCAATACAGGTAGTCCTCAATTTACAACCCTAATTGAACCCCAAATTCTGTTGTTAAGCAAGATAGTTGTTGAGAGGCTTGCCCATTTTATGACCTTTCTTATCATAATTGTTAAGAGAATCACAGTTGTTATTAAGTTAGTAACACGGTTGTTAAGCGAATCTGGATTTCCCATTGACTTTTAGAAGGTTGCAACTGTCATAAATACATGCCAGTTGCCAAGTGTCCAAATCTAATCATGTGACCATGGGGATGCTGCAATAGTTGTATGTGTGAAAAATGGTCATGGTTTTCTGGTGCTGTTGTAACTTTGAATGATCACTAAACAAATGCTCATAAGTCGAAGACTACCTGTATAGTTGTCATGCAGGGAACAGCAGGATAGTATGAATACACACAATAACAATTAAGCAACTAACAGTTATTCTATGCATCATATCATATTAAAGCACACAAAGTCACCTGATAGTGAAATGGGAGTATAATTTTAATACATAAATGATGGGAAAATATAATTTCCTAAAAGAGATAGACTTCAAAACACGGACTCACTGACTGACAATGCAAAGTGATTTGAATTATTCCTCAGTGAAAGAATATCATCTTTTCACTGCTTTGAATCTAACTAAAAATGCACACCTTTTGAGTAAATGACTGGCCAGTGATATCATATATTTGGCTTATCATGGGTAAGACAAAAAAAGCTAAAATCTTCCTTCTCACTTTTTAATTGCAAGCCCCCCAAAGTCTGCTAGGTGAGATGGGTGGTGTTGAAATCTGGAGGATGATAGATAGATGGATGATAAATACATACATGCATGCATACAGACAGACAGACAGATTATAATAAATCACAACATTCTTGGTTGAGACATGAAACATTTTCTTCATCTTCAAGGAAAAAACAGTCCAGTTACCTTTTGGAAAAAGTACCTCTGAGACAGTTAAAAGTATAATTTTGAAATATTAGTATTGATAAGAATTCTTTTCATGTAATATGAAATTAATTAGACAAATAGACCAGAACTTGATGGCAATGTTGATTATTTGACATCAAAGAAAAAAAATTCTGGATTTTACAAATAAGGAAATTATACTATGAGACTGTGTATCTCAGAGCTGCCATCTTTTGCTCACTTCTATTCTTTACTTAGATGCCAGTCTGCCATACCTTACAGGAAGAGGGGAACTCAAGGGGGAATCAGAAGGGGAACCTACAAGCAAGATATGGGAAACCAAGAGCAATAATCATGCCGTCCTGAGATATCTATGGTCCTGGGAATGGAATGCAACATCTATCTTCTATCAACCACAACAGGGAATGTTACCAAAACATCTTCTCTAAATATGACTAATGGGGAGAAAATGAGGGGGTGGCTTGGGAAGGGCAATGCAGCCCAGTGCTCCCAGTGTGATAAGGAGGGCCACGGAGCCATCAATTGCCTCTCACAATGCCAGATGTCCACCTTTTACCTCAGGCAAAGCAGGCAGGCAGATTGAGTTGCTCACAGAATCACAGATTCATTCAGAGATCTAGCTATCTGCCATTGGCTAGCTCAGTCTGTCACATGAAATTTGCTTGCAAGCAAACTCATAATTAACTCACAACACACCATGTATGTAAATATTGATTTTTTTTCTTTAAAAAAAGCAATTTTTACCTAAAATCAGACAAAGCAGGCAGATTGAGTTGCTCACAGATCCATTCAGTGATCTATCTATCTGCCATCAGCGAGCTCAGTCTCTCAAATTTGCTTGCCATGAGTCTGCACTGAATTTGCTTGCAAGCAAACCTTCAGTCCTAAGGGAAGCAGAGCCAAAGATCTAAAGACTAGCTAGAAAGCAAGAAATCCAACCATTTCCTGCTTCCTAGCTAATCTAAATCTCCCAGCACAGCAGAAGAGATGATGGTCAGAAAAAGGAAAAATAGAAATTTTAGCAGGCAAGTTTGCTGGGTAATGAGTGAGTGGGCAGGGAGGGTTCCTGCGGGCCATGTGGGCAACACAGCCTTGTGTTTCTGTGCAGCCTGGATTAATTGCTTTGGGGGGGTGCTCTGGGAGTGAGATTTCTCTGTGGCCCAACAAATTTTTCTCACAGCCCACCAGTGGGCCGCAGCCCACCGGTTGGCAACCACTGAACTAAACTACTTGGGCTACTGTAACTTGCATGAAGGAGTGAAGCTGGACCTAGAGAAGCTATGAGCAATATTCAAAGGCGAGGCTCCTCACATGAGGAAACAATTACAAAGCTTTCTCGGTACCTACACACTTCTACTGAAAATTCATCCATGCCTTCAGATCATACTGCCAATCACCGATTTGCTAAAAACCAAGGGGCGAGTAAACCATGACTGAGTCAATTGTTCCAATGGATTATGAAGTGCCAAGCAGCTTTTGAAAGCTTAAAAGACTTTTCACTGCAGAGTCCATCAGTCTAACACCAAAATGTGGATGAGCCTTTTTGTTTTTCAGGTGGACATCAGTGATGTCGCTGGAGGGGCTGTTCCACCACCCCCAAAAAACCTCAAGAGTTCTTGTAATGTCTTATTCCTGTAATCCTGCACCTTCACTTCTAGGAAATTCTTGGAAGCTGAGTGCAGATGGGCAGTGTGGGAAAAGGAAGCCTATGTTGTATGCTGGGCCCTATGATTTGATGCCATTTATTCAAGAGCAGTAAGATCTCTTTCCAGGTGTGGATAAACCACAAAAACCTAGAAGCATGCAAAATGCCATGAAAACTCTCTCTTCCAAACAAGTGAATGGGTGCTGTACTTTCACTGGCTTAATTTCTCCCTGCACTATTTGCTAGGGAGAGGGGAAAGTTCCCGGCTAATATATTGTCTCCACAAGCACAATAAAACAGCTCCAGAGAGGAGGCTGTTAACTCCATCTTCCCTTCTCAATGAATTATAGCTCCTGTGATTGGGCAAAAAACAGGGTGAAAACCCAGCTACCTGATGAACTCACTCAAATGTTACGTCTGCCCTGGTGGATGATGTATGGTTTAAACAACATAAAAACAACATGACACTATGCAACAGCTTAGTGTGGATGGGGACAAGCTTTATAGCCTGGTACTAGAATGCTGCCATTATTCCAAGATAACTGGCCACTTCGCATTTGTAAAAATCTCTTTCTCTGATAAACTGAAAGACAAAAAGGATAAGTACAAAAATTGGAAACAGGGACAAATAACTAGGGCAGAGTATCATCAAATAGCCTGAATCTTCAAAGATGAAGTCAGGAAAGCAAAGGAATAAAGATTTGCAACAAAAGTCAAAGATAATTAAAAGTTTATTTCAACATATAAATAGCAACAAGGAACAGTCAAGGAACACTAAAGAGAGAAGCTGGCAAGGAAGTAACAGGCAGTAGAGAGAAAACAAGAGCTCATTCTTTGTATTAGTCTACACACAGAAAGAAACTAT